GAAAATCTCCACCACCTCCAGTACCTCTGTTGGCAGGTATGGTGCATGGGGTGTCTGGCCACACAGTTTGGGAACCACAGGCTTTATCCAACCCACTTTTGTTTAATCCACCATCTTAACCTGGAACTGCATTCAAACATCCTCACAGTCACCCTCCAACCACTCAGCACCTCACTTCATGTAACAAAATATAATTCATTCACATGTTGACTCAGGATTCCACTCTCAAGAGCTAGGAGGGTAGGTGGCCCTGGTGAGCAGAGAGCCACACTTTCTCAGGCACCATCCCCCAACCAATAAGACACACTTTTGGAGTGTGGACTTTGCACACCATGAGACAATACTGTAGGAGTAACTCAATACAGGCTGTGGCCATTTCTAGACAGCTGAGGCAGGGCCTGGGTGCGGACAGCTGTCACATGGGTCTTCTGTGCCCCGCTCCCCTCCCTTCCCCCTCTCTGCCTCCCCCCTCACAGGTCTCTGAAGGACTCAATCAGGATAAGGTCAGCATGTCAAGGAGACTGGGGCAGGCTCTCTGAAAGACATGTGAGTCCTGAGCACACTGGCTGCTGTGGACTGAGCCTCTGAGGAGATGGGTGATGCAGGCAGACCTCTGTCTAGACGAGAAGGCAGTGGAGACACATCAGACAGATGCAGCGCAGGAGTGACGAGAAAAACCTGCTTCCATTGTGTAATACAACTGGAGGGAATTGGCTGTTTCCTTCTTTATCTAAACATCTAACCCCTCCAGGGGCTGCGTCTAGGCACCAGTGAATTTCATTTTCATTTCCAGGTCTTTACCTTACCCACGAAGAAGAGAAAGGAAGGAGAATGAAGAGAAGAGAAAAAGAGACATATAAATAAAGGAGAGGGCAAATGGGGAAAGAAAGGAAAGGAAGAGGCCAGCCAGGGAGGACAGCACAAGAGTGAGTGGGTCAGGAAGTGGGGGAAGGCTGGATGCATTCTGAATCTTAAGCCATCTTACGTCTTAGCATTTGGAGACCACCTAGTGGTCTAGTCCTTTAACAAAATTTATCTCCTCTCCATTGAACAGTGGCTAAAAATAGCCAGCGGGGAAGCCAGTTCCTACATACATTCCAAAAGGTCAAAGAGCTCACAGGTCTGTTTGTGGGATGGAGCTATCTATCCAGTCATTTAAAGAACGTAGAAGGTTCAATACAAGTTGAGTTCTCTACCCTGGAAGCATCAGTCAACCTCAAGGTCAATGTTAGAAGACCTCTGTCTCCCAGTAAAGGAATCATAATCGTATGTGGTTTTGTCAGGCAGGCCAGGACACTGTTCAACTACAAATATGTGTTAATATTTGCTTGTCCTGAAGTTCTAACTCAACAACTCATGTAAGTGGTCACTTGGATCGTTGTTCATGTTTATGGGTTTTATGTAATTCTCCATGCCAAGGGGTCTCCTGAAGCCAAATACAGTAATAGTCCTCCATGAAAGAAAGGAGCAATCCAGCTGTGTTGTGAGAAACACAATTGTGGAGGAATTATCAGAGGTCAGAGAAGACTAGTTGTGTTTTTTCCATAACTGATGACTATATCTGTGGTTTGCCTTGCATTGACAGATTTGCTTGAAATACTATTCAACCAAAAAAATACTGATACTTGTCTTCAGCAAATGCTATTATTGTGGTTGGAATGAAGGAATCTGTTTTCTTAAATGCTTCCAGATTAAATCCAAGGGAAAAGAAAAATAGGAAACCAGAGCCAGAAAGGGCCGACTTTTCCGTACGTTTCGAGGATGTGCCGATTATGAGGAAGGCCTTCCGCATCCTGCTCTTCCTGGCAAGAGTTGTCACTAACCCAAAGGCATTCAAGGACACTCTATAGGTCAGACTATCCCATGAAGCTGCTCAGCACTGGTTTTACTAAATAGTTCAACCAAATTCTAGAAGCAAAACAGAAAACATAACTGAGACAGGAGTGTATGTTGTGTGAGGGGTGAGAGTGTGTGGAGTTTCTCTCCCTCCTCACCAAATCCTTCTTAGTTGGCATACTGAGTGTTTTCAATTTTCAAACACATACATACGCAGAAACTGAATTATGCAATTCCTAACCAATGTTTTGAATTTTCAGATGATTGGAAATTGATTTTCCAACACAGATCATGAGAGACATTTAATAAATCACATCATCTGTGTAGGCGATGACAATGGATAAAACACGATGAAAGAAGAGTTGCATGAATTCAAACAGAATCCAAAATGCAAGCTCAAGTGCACTCTTAATCCATTCCACCAGAAATGCTTTCAGAATGTTTGGCCCAAGACTTAGTTTTATTTGTAAATAAATAAAGTATCAGGAGATACTTTCTCCATAGATTTTTTTTCATACAAACTTTCTTGTGGGTAAAGGAGAAATCTGACTCCTGTTTTTATATCCATTCATCTGTCTATCTAGTCTATTTAAAACAGCAATGTAAGAGATGTGCCCTGACTCCCATAGGGTTTCCACACCAGTTCACACAGGAGACTGAACCTCAGAAGTCCCCTCTATCGGGGAACAGCATCATCATTAAACAGCATCAATTTTAATGAAACCATGTCACAGACAAAATATGCAGTTATGTTTCCATAATTTGGAAAGTGATCACAGCACCTGCCATGGGGACTGTACATGTAGGCGCTGGGTCTGGGTATAACGCACAACAGAAGGCATCAGATCAGCGTTTGCACGGCAGAGGAAACCATAAACAAAGTGAAAAGACAACCCACAGAACTGGAGGAAATATTTGTAAACAAAGCAATTGATAAAGGAATAATCTCCAAGATATACAAACAGCTTACACAGTATGATGCCAAAAGAACAAACAACTCAATAAAAAATGGAAGACCTAAATAGGCATTTCTCCAAAAAAGACACAGAGATGGCCAAAAAACACAGAAAAAGATGCTTGACATCGCTAATTATTAAAGAAATGCAAATAAAAACTACAATGAGGTATCACTTCACACTGGTCAGAATGGCCATCATCAAAAAGTCTACACACAATAAATGCTGGAGAGGATGTGGAGAGAAGGGAACCCTCCTACACTGCTGGTTGGAATGTAAATTGGTGCAGCCACTATGGAGAACAGTTTGGAGGTTCCTCAAAAAACTAAAAAGAGAACTACCAAATGACCCAGCAATCCTACTCTTGGACATAAACCCGAAGAAGACCATAATTCAAAAAGATAACTTGCATCCCAATGTTCACTGCAGGACTATTCACAATAGCCAAGACATAGTGGTAGTTAGTAGTTTAGTTGCTCAGTCATATCCAACTCTGGCAACTCATGGGATATAGTCCACCAGGTTCCTCTGTCCACGGGATTCTCCAGGCAAGAATACTGGAGTAGGTTGCCATTTCCTTCCCCAAGGGATCTTCCTGACCCAGGAATCGAACCCAGGTCTCCTGCATTGCCGGCAGATTCTTTACTGACTGAGCTACAACAGAAGCCCAAGACATGGTAACAACCTAAATATCCACTGACAGAGGAATGGATAAAAAAGATGTGGCACATACATTCAATGGAATATTACTCAGCCATAAAAAGAATGAAATAATGCCATTTGCAGCAACAAGGATGGGCCTAGAGATGGTCATGCTGAGTGAAGTAAGTCAGACAGAGAAAGACATCATATGATATTGCTTATATGTGGAATCTAAAAACATGGTACAAATGAACTAATGTACAAAATAGAAGTAGAGTCACGGGTGTAGAAAATAATCTTATGGTTACGAAGGGGGGAAGGGGGAAAGGGATGAACTGGGAGAGTGCGACCAACGTGCACACTAGCACACACAAACAGGGCACACGCGGGTCTGCTGGGCAGCACAGGGACTCTGCTCAGCGCTCTGCCGTGGCCCACACGGGAAAAGAACCTAAGAAGGGGCGGGTGCATGTATGTGCTGTGCTTAGCGCTCAGTCGTGCCTGACTCTGAGACCCCATGGACTGATTCATAGTCTGATTCACTTTGCTGAACAGCAGAAACTAACAATATTGTAAATCACCTATCGTCCAGTAAAGACTTAAAAGGAAGCGGAAGGCGTCAGATCCAGTGCAGCCTCCCCTCTGGGTGCACTGAGCATGCCTCACATTTGGATCCTAACTGGCTCACTTTCTGCCCCTCAGGCCGCCTGCTGGGGTATGAGAGCTTCGGGACCAACCGCGGCCTTTCTGACCAGGAGCCTCCAAGCTCTCCAAGGAGAGCCAGAGCCAAGTCTGGCTCCTGAGAGGCGCAACCATGGTGAAACAGAGACACATCATTCCTAGCCTTCAGCAAGAAGACTGAAGCTGGTGACGGCACTGCTGGGAAAAACACTGAGACAGTGTCCTCCAGGGCGACCTGACGTGGGCAGAAATCTCCGCTTCTCTTTGGACTTCAGCTTTGTCTGTGAGAAGCCAGGCGAGAATGAGAAGAGGGAGGCGGAGGGCAGGAGACCAGGCTTCTGGAGTGCACGGCCCTGATGAGGCCGGGGGTGTGTGAGCGAGACACCGCAGGGTGAGATGCCCTTGCTCCCGCTGCAGCGCAGGAAGCGGTCACGGCTCAGGGCGCACACACGGAGCCCCTGGGGTCGCTCTGCCGACACCGTCAGGCTGCTCTGCCAGGAGACGCAGCTCCAGGCCGCAGTCTAGCTGTGTTCTGTTCAGCGGAAATGTGCCGCAGACCACTCTTCCACTGAAATCTTAGCAGGATGCTTTTTCATCTCTAGCTTAGTTTGCTTTCTGAGTATAAAAGACCATGGTTTTAAAAGCCTTAAGTCACTGAGCCCGATCTCCTTGTCTGAATGGAACTTAATGTTTCACTAATAAAACAACTGGATGTAAAATGCAGTGTGCAGACCCCACAATAAAGAAGATATTGTCTGTAAGGGGGTTTCACATTTCCAGGGAACTGCAAAAACATTGTTCTGCATGTGGTTCAAAACGGAAACAAAGAACTATTGAAACTGAAGAGATACATTAGCAGAGAGGAAAAAAGAAAAAGCTTCTTACCAGGTTCAGCTGTGGATCGAGGTTCTGTTCCCCACATGAGAAAAAAAAGAAATAAAAACAGAGATTTGAGTCAGTTTCCGTTCATACTAAACTTGCCCATCCTTTCCTGTGACCTTGTCTAGGACATGTCTGCAGAAATACTGCAGACAAGCCCCATCGTACAAGGGAGAGGGACGGTAGATCAATCTATATTCCCATAAATAAACTAAAATTCCCTTAACAGCTCTCACTAGCAAGGGTTTCAACTGCAGTTCATAGAAGGCTCAGAGCCTCATAAGATGACTGGCCCAACTTTGAATTCAAATGTGGACGTGCAACTTCGCGGAAGAAGAAAACAAAACTTCAGTCAGGGTGTGTGAGGGCCCACAGCCAGCAGGATGACTTTAATGTGTTGGAACCCATGTCCCCTCAACTCTGAGATCACAAATCTATGCACCCACACCACTGTCCACAAACAGACAAAAAACCAGGCCTCCCGTCCGGCACAGGGTCCTTGACTGCATACTCCGTAGTGACCTATATGGAGCGAGAGTCCGAAAAAGGACGGATGTCTGTATGCTGCGCTGAGTCGCTCAGTTGTGTCCGACTCTTTGTGACCCCACAGACTGTGCCCCCCAGGCTCCTGTGTCCTTGGGATTCTCCAGGCAAGGATACTGGAGTGGGTAGCCTTCCCCTTCTCCAGGGGGTCTTTCCAGCCCAGGAATCAAACTGGGGTCTCCTGCATGGCAGGCAGGTTCTTTGCCATCTAAGCCAGTAGGGAAGCTCGGATGTATGTATATGTACAGCTAAATCACTTCACTGTATACTTGAAACTAATTCAGTATTGTTAATCAACTATGTTTTAATAAAAATAAAAACTAAAAAATATCTAGAGGGGTGGGATGGGGTGGGAGGTTCAAGAGTGAGGAATAAAAAAATAATTAAAAAATAATAAAATGCCAAAAAAAAAAAAAAAGAAACAAAGAAGAAATCCACGCATGTCAGTGATTAAACCCTTGCTGGCTCTCCTGGACTGGAGACCAGGGCCTGGTCAGACCCAGGTTGTGTTGTAGGCAGCGTTGTGAGGCGGCCCCTCTGCTTACTTTTCTGCAGGATCCGGAAGTCCGGTGAGTCCTGGATCTCACTGCCTTGTCGGAACCAGCAGACCCGCAGTGGGGGCGTGCCTCGCACACGGCACTCCAGCACGACCACCTGGCCCTCGGACGCACAGATGTTCTGCAGCTCCTGAAACACCAGGACACACCCGTCAGGGCTGGGCTCACACAGCCACACGACACGCTCTCGTGACACAGAGCAGCAAATACAGGCTGAGCACCTGCACACGAGCCCCTTCTCAGGTCAGGAGGGCACTGCATCCCAGGTGATGAAGTGAGCGAGGTCCCAGGCCCGCCCTGCAGTACACACGCTCCATCACCCATGGCACCCAGTGTCTCCATGACCTGTCTTTATCTACACGAGGATGTGCTCCATCTGGGGGTAGAGTCCTGGGGGACCAGGCAGGAGGGGAAGGTGATGCCATGTGTCCACCAGAGGCCAGGCCCCTCTGTCCATGGGATTCTCCAGACAAGAATACTGGAGTGGGTCTCCATGCTCCTCTCCAGGGGACCTCCCCGACCCAAGGGCTGAACCTGGGTCTCCCATCTGTGCCCCAAGCTTCGACCTTCCCCCAGGACCCGCCTCTGTCCACCAGCGTCCTGGGGCAGCTGCACCAGAAGGAGGGCTGGCATTTCCTCATCTGCAGGTTCGTTTTTTTAATAATTAAATTTATTTTTAATTGAAGGATAATTGCTTTACAATATTGTGTTGGTTTCTGCCAAATATCAACATGCGTCAGCCACAGGTTCAGATATGCCCCCTTCCTCCTGAACCTCCCTCCCCGCCCCACCCTGCCAGGTTGTCACAGAGCCCTGGTTTGAGTTCCCTGAGTGACACAGCAAACCTCCAACTGGCGATCTGTTTTACCTACAGTAGCGTATATGTTCCCACACTACTCTCTCCACTCATCTGACCCTCTCCTTTCTGCCAGCCCCGCTCCCCGGGCCTGAAGTCTGTTCTCTACGCCATGTCTGCACTGCCGCCCCACAGACAGGGGCACCAGGACCCCTTTCCAGATCCCACTCACCTGCAGGTTCTGAGCACAGCACCCCCTGACCTTCCCTGCCTCCTCCCCCTGACCAGCGCGTCACCCTGGTGCCCCACCCACTCCAGCTCCAGACCCATAAACTTTTACAGCCCAACAGACCAGAAATGAGGGAGGCTTCACAGATGCAAAGAGCTGAAGCTTGTAAACTGGCTACTGAAAACCAAAGGAATAACTGGCCCTTCCAGGTGCCTCCCTTGCCTTCTTCCCCTGGGACTGCCAGGCCACGGGCCCACCCAAACTTTCTACTATCTACGTGTGTGCCTACAGGGTATCGCATCCGATAAAGGACACGTACAGCTCTTGAAGTAAGTCAGATACAATAAATGATTATGCATAGAACCAAAGCAAACAAATTCACATTAGGAAGTATGCTTTTTTTTTTCCTGTCTCCATTTTTGCTTTTTATTTTACATTTTCCTCAAGAGACAGCCAATGGTGTGCAGGGGAAAAACACAGATTCTCAGAAAAACTGCAGGTCCTGTAGCAACTGGCCTGCAGTGCCATGCACTCTGGCCCTGTGAAAACCCTGGAAGTCCACAATGTGGGCAGAAGCAGGAAAGTCTAATGTACCTGGTGAGAATTTTGGTGCCAAAGGCCTTTTTAGTAAATGAAAAGGTGAATATTATTACCTACTTCTGAGTCCATTCTCTCTTCGTTCTTACTTTTAAATGTAGAAAAGTCTCTGGTTTTAAATTGACTTCCACTTTCTGATTAGTCCAGAGAGCAGTATTTCGCAGATCAGCAGGGAAGATGTTGCCCTCGGGGTCCAGCTAGTGAGGATGGAGTCATGGATACCCCCAGTGTGTCCAGGGAACCCTCGCAGCGTGTTACAGATGCTGCACAAATACTCTCCACGTGTGAGCTTCCAGACACCCAGGGGCCTCTGGTTTGCTCCCGGGATTGTGCATATTGCTCACACTGGAAAATTGCAAAGCTAGGACCTGGGTAGAAAGCAAGCGTGTCACACAGGTCTCCGCAGTTTTCCAAGTCTGCCGCATGGCTCCTCCTGAGGGAGCTTCCTCTCCTGACCAAAGCCACGCCAACACGGCTGACCTTGGAAGGCTGGTCTGGGGCCCTGGGGCTTTGAGGTCCACAGGAAGGCATCGCGTGCTGCCGGGTCCGCCTGGTACCAAGACTCCCTGCGAGGTCCACAGCTCCAGGGGGAAACGCCACATGGGGCAGCCGCTCTCCTGGCCCCGAGTGTGTCCCTGGGGCCCATGAGCTGCTGTTCCCACCAGGTCGGCGGCCCCGGCTTCAGCCCCAGGGACCCCCACCAGGGGTGTGGGGGGACACGGATGGAGGCGCCCAAGGACTGGCAGAGCCCAGGCCCATGAAGGACGGGGCAGGGCAGGGAGGGGCACTGCCCCCAGGGGAAGCGTGCTGCAGGCACGCGCGAGGAGGAAGAGGCCCGCACCGCAGGCGGGGACAGTCACTGTCCACACCCAGGAGGCAGCGCTGCAGCCACTCTACTGTTTGCGGCTTAAAAACTCAAGCTTTAGAAAAATGTGGACTCCTGGTTTCCTTTTCTACTAGGCTCCGAGCACGCCTCCCGGCTTCCTTTGGGGTTAAGGGACACTGTGCTGGGGTCTCTGCCCCCGGAGCTGGGCTGCGCTGTGGGGACAAGGATGGGCTGGGGCTGGCCTGGAGGAGTCCCACAGCCCTGCGGGAGGAAAGGGCAGTCTCGGGTCTCTCTCCGCCGGGTGCCCCAGGACGGCTGTGACAGCTCAGCCCGGAGGTGCGCGGGGCCCTGGCTCCAAAGCCAACAGCGTTCCGACAGCTCAGCAGCTCACACAGATTTCACAGGTGGGGCTGAGTGTGAGCAGCTCCTGAGCGCCAGGCAGTGTTCGTGCCGGCCGCTCTGCGAACGACTCCTTCTCTGAGCACGGGTGGATGGATGCCCCATGGGCTGTCATCCTGACACTGCTGTTCATAGGCAGGACGGGACTTTTTCCTTCTTCGGGTATTTCATCCTGGGTAGGGGGAGGTGGACCCTCACTGTTGTGGTCAACAACCCTCATTCACTGACTGTGTCCTCCGTAAACACGCTGTAGGAAGAGGTCTTTAACCAAGCTGGCTGCAGGCTGGCTTCGGAGGAAGCATCACTCCCTGGATGAAGACAGACCCTCCTCTCGGCTGCCTTGCGGAAGATTCACAGATTTCAGATAGTGGACTACAGAAAACACTGTCACATTCGTCTTCTGTCACTTGGGGTTGGTCCTGTGAGGTGGATGGCCCGGGGCCCACCTCTGAAGAACCCACCCTGCGCAGTAAGCCTCGTGTTGCTGGGGCATCTTGTGGGTGCTCTAGGGGCCTCATCTGTCTGTCTGTCCAGGCTTGAGCCAGCCCTGCCGTCCTGGCGCTCTGCTCTAGGGAGTCCTGACATCTCAGATCCTAACACCATCTCAGCCTGCCCCTGTAGGAGGACCCCGGCTGCTCTCAGCCACTTTCTAAACCACGAAAGATTTAGAATCAGACTGGCAAGTTCAACGACAAACATAGATAAAAACGAGGATCTGTTGGAATTTGAGCGATATTACACTGAACTTAGAGACTGGGCTGGGGGCGTGACTTCTGACAGTATGCCGGTGCACAGGCATGGGGCACCTCTGCAACTGTGCCTTTTAAATATCTTTCAGTCAAAAAAATGATACAAGTGAACTTACATACAAAACAGAAATAGACCCACACACTTAGAAAACAAACTTTACTGTCACCAAAGGGGAAAGGGGGCGGGGATAAGCTAGGAGATTGGGACTGATATGTACACACCACAGTCTATATAAAATAGATAACCAATAAGAAGCTACTGTATTACCCAGGGAACTCTAGTCAATGTTTTTTAAAACTCTATAAGGAAAAAGAATCTGAACAAAAGTACATGTATCACCTGTGTACACCTGAAACTAACACAACACTGTAAATCAACTCAACTCCAATTACAAAATTTATAATTTTCTCAGAAAGAGGTGGGGAGGAGACAGAGGAGAAACACCCCGTGGGACCATTTCTGAGCTGACCAATGTCATCATGCCTGGCGATGCAAAACACCCGCTGAGATAAACTGAGAATCTGTCAATTGCTTTTTAAACCGTCTACAGCCTTGCTGGCTTCCCAGGTCCCGCCCACCATTCTGCATCTCCCACGCACTCTGTGGTTTCCCAGCCTCTTCTGAGCTCTGTCAGGCCCGCCTTTCTCAGACCTTTACATGGTCAGGGTCACAGCAGCTGGGCACCGAGTATCTGTTTAGCCCCACGGGTAACCTCGATAAGAACCTGTTCATCACTCGTTTTCATGTTTAAAGACTATACATGAGGCCACAGGGGAATGGAATCAAAGGCCCAGAGCAAGCTCAGAGCAGGAGACGCGCAGGTGCCTGACCTTGGTGAAGACAGGTGGGAGGCAGGCGGCAGCGGGTCCATCCGGCCGGCAGAGGAACAAGGTGGGGCTGGGGGCCTGGAGGGCAGAGGCACACGGGTCAGACTCGGAACACGCAAACCAGGAAAAGACAACCCACGTGGGGGGCGGCATGGCCACCGACAGGACTAAGCATTCCCTGCAGTGCTTAGCCAGTGCCTACAGAGCGAACACGAACAAGTCCGCTGGCTCAGCCAGAGCCAGCTCTGTAAGTCCCACTCTGCTTCGGGGGTGCACAGGGAGTGTCTACTACACGTGCCGCCTCCGAGCGACTTTATTGCTTGGCTCTCCCTCGTGTCTCATCTCAGATGTGCTTTCTCTACGTTGTGCATACCCAACATGCCACAGAGTAAGTGAGTAAGAGCTAGCCGCTCAGTCACGTCCGACTCTTCTGCGACCCCATGGACTGTAGGCTCCTCTGTCCACGGAACTCTCCAGGCAAGAACACTGGAGTGGGTTGTCATTCCCTTCTCCAGGGGATCTTCCCCAGCACAGAGATGGAACCCGGATCTCCCTGCACTGCAGGTGGACTCTTAACCACTGAGCCACCAGGGGAGGCCTGTAATTTGTAAAACGCCCACAGGCGCTGAGTGGCTGGAGGGCACACCAGTGTTCGTCAGATGCACTTATGACTCAGGGGGAGCTCACGCTGCAAGAGTCCTGGGTTTACAGATGCCCATCACAGCACCATGGCAAAGTATCACATTTGACTTAGAGACATCTAGATTCTAATTTTTTACTTAAAAAAAGCTTCAGGTCTTCTGTGTTTGCAAAGTGAGGGCACTACAATGACTCAGTCATGGGTACTGTTGTTCTTGGATAAAGCAGTCTTACAATGAAATGAAAGCAGGATGAAAATGCACGGTGGAGCGAAGGAATCTGAATATTCCTATATTATCTGTTAAGCTCTCAGAGGATAGGTGGACTTCTGAACTCTATCAGGTGGACTTTGTGGATAAGGTGGACTTTTCTCATTTTCTACTTTCTTTTAAATGAGCTAACGAATTCGGCTACATGGAAGATGGCACATACGTGAGGGGGAATCAAGCAGTAACAGCCAAGACAGATGCCACTTTATCAGAGTATTAGCTGCGAGAAAAAGAAATTCCCAAAGGAAACGCAGATGTTGATTAATCAGTGGTGTGTCTTGGATTAAAAATTATTTTTAGTGCATTAAAAGGAAGAACTTATCATTTCTTTTCTCCCAGTTGTGTGTCCACTGAGGAGATATTTCAAGGTAGGACTAGTTGGGGTCTTTATGCTAAAGAGTCTGACTCCCCTCGGGCTGTGGATAAGGCTCACCTGCTGCACAGGGGCTGACAGAGGCTGGGTCACAGCTGTGGTCACTCCTGTCTTTGGGGATGATGATCCAATGGTCAGGGACACGGAAGTGGTTTTCTTCTGAGCTCTGGAAAGTAAGGAGTGAAGTCTTGGGTCAGAATTTCTTAAACAGGAATCATTCTTTGAAACATTTCCACAGAACAGGCCAGTTTCTTTATGTTCGCTCAAGCTGCTTCAACTGTAACTGCTTCAGAAATGGGGACCCACAACCTATAGTTAGAACAGTGGTGCTCAGTATATATTCAGACGGCCCCCCAGACATCAGCAAAATAAACACACAGATGAAAGTAATTCATGTAACTATGTATCTCAGCTCTTATTAGAAAGCAGAAAGTATTGAACTGGAAAATCCTAAGAGAAAAGATAATACTTAGAAAAGCCCAGTCTATAGCAGTAAGCAGACACGTTTAGGAAATGTTTAGGACTGGGCTTCTATATTTAATTCAAAGTTCTGGTGGTTGGTTTTCAGTCCAGCAACTGCTCTTCGTTCCACTTCCCCATTGTATAAAGTTGAGAATGTCTTGGACTGTGGTCTTTTCTTAGGGCATAAAAGTTAAGAGTTGTTTCTAGGTCCAATTTTGCTAAGTCTCCGGCTGTGTAATCTCAAGTGAGTCATGTAACTTCACTAAACTTGAGATCCTTCTTTGAATGCACAGGTAGCAGAGTATGTGATCTTATTAAGATCCCTTTAACACAAATGCTCAGTTAGCACTCAGTCATGTCTCTCTGCTACCCCATGGACTGTAGCCCACCAGGCTCCTCTGCTTATGGGATTCTCCAGGCAAAAATACTGGAGTGGGTTGCCATGCCTTCCTACAGGGGATCTTCCCAACCCAGGGATCAAACCCATGTCTTCTGCATTGGCAGGCAGATTCTTTACCAGGGAAGCCCCCTTTAACATGAATGGTCACTGATAATTTGATGCTGAATGGCTGTGATTGTTATGTATATACTAGTAAATCAAACAAATTTATTAGCACAGTCTCAATATTCATGGAGTTTTCTACAAAATCTTGGTAGATTTTATCTTTGCAAAATAATTAAGATCCTAACATATTACTAATAATCCCTATGTCTTTGTAGGGAGAATGAAATTTTGAGATTTTCATGACATGATCTAACTGGAGATACACTTTATCCAAATGGAAACCCATTTCTAGTCTAATTAGATATTTTCTAATTTATGTGATAAATTGTTTGTCATTTATATTTTAGCAATGATTTAAATAATTTTCTCTCAATGTGACTTCTCCTTCTACACATTTATAAGCAGTCAGTTGTCACTGGAACTAACGTTGTGGATGGTTAGATTTTGGGACACTGATGATGAAATGCAGATTTCAAAGTTCAAAAGTCAAAGACTGTGCTCCAGGTTCAAGCATCTGATCTCTGACTGACATCGGCTGAGCTCTGCCTTCAGCGCACAATGCAAGCAGCGCCACTGAGCACAAGCCTGCTGACATTTTCTCCTTAAACTGACGGAATCGACACACTTACTGAGGCATGGCTCCAGGTTTCGATCTGAAAGCTAAACTTTCACTGTCAGAGTCTGATGAGCTGGCACCTGAGTGAAAAAAAAACAAAGATGGAGGTAGTATCTATATCCACTTCCAAGGGTAATATTCTTCATTCAGACAGTAACATACAGAGTCTTACTGTGAAATAGACAATGTTTCATACCATTTTTACTGAGTCTGTTTTTTCAGATAATCAGTTTAAAAAAGAAGTCCTGAAAAAGTTTTCTTCAAATCAGTATATGTTTAGTGTCAGATTGATTCCTAGTTTCATTTTTGTCCCTTTGGGCATCATGACCATACTTTTAAATGGCTTAACAACTATGGAATCAATGTGTGTGTGTCTGTGTGTAAAGACAGCCGTGGTCTTAAACTTCCGCGCTTTCCAGCAGATTGGGCGGCAGCAGCAGCCCTGTGTGTGCTCAGTCGTGTCCGACTCTTTTGCACCATCATGGACTGTAGCCCACCAGGCTCCTCTGTCCATGGGACTCTCCAGGCAAGAACACTGGAGTGGGTTGCCACTTCCTCTTCCAGGGGATCTTTCCAACCCAGGGATTGAACCTGTGTGTCTTGTACCTCAAGCACGGGCAGGAGGATTCTTTACCACTGTGTCATCTGGAAGCCCAGATTACATGGTGTGAATTATCAATACCTTCACTCCTCATTGATGAGGAGATGCTTTCTGACTCTGATCAGTTGGGACTTGACTGTGACTTCACTCTTGAATGGCGGGGTGGGGGGGGGCATCTCTAAGTTTGGATCATACCCTCCCAAGTTCATTTGCTTCATTGCTGTGTTTAAATTAAGGGTCACCTTGTTGGGTTTTCAGGCCAAAAGGCAGGTTGTACTTACATTTTAATGGTCATGTATTTTGTGATAAGAGATTTTAGGTGACATTTAGAAAAACTGTGATGGTTAGAAGTACATTCTTGATAATTCCTTTATGAGACATATTTAACATGAGTTATTTAAATTACCTATTTAGAATATCTTAAAGTAAAATAATATATACTTATAGAAAAGTAAAGTTGGGAAAGATTGAAGGCAATAGGAGACTGAGGCAAAAGAGGATGAGTTGTTAGATGGCATCACTGACTCCACAGTCATGAATTTGAGCAAGCTTCAGGAGATGGTGAAGGACAGGGGAGCCTGGCATCCTGCAGACCATGGGTTGCAAAGAACTGGACACGGCTGAGTGACTGAACAACAACAGAAAAGTAACCAAGCGGCACAGAATTGTGTGACGTAAGAGTGAACACCAGTACATCCTGTCCTTGATGCCATCCTGCATAGGCTAACAATCCGGCTGCAATTTTCAGATAAACTGAGTGTATTAACAAACGTACAGTGGCCCGCCCTGCTATCAGTGGGGGATACATTCCAAAACTCCAAAACCGTGGACGGCACCAAACCCTGTCAATTGTATTTTTCCTATACAGACATACCTAAGATAAAGTGTAGTTTGCACTTTGGACACAGTAAGAGTTGAACAACAATAACTAATGGTAAAATAGAACAACTATGATGATGTAATTATATTACAATTATAATAATAACAACAAAGGTATACGACTATAGTATCTCTCTCTTAAAATATCTTATTGAATAAATTTAATGCCTTTACACACTGGCTGTAAATTTTAGGGTTTGAGACATGATAGCAAAACAATGTGGATTTCGTTTCCTTTGTCACTACCTCATGGATAGAAGGGTCAGTCTCACCATTCATCTTGGCAACCTCAGCATATGGTTTTCTCCCCTTTTCTCACTCACTCTCACCTTTCACTTAAAGGAACCCTGCGTGGCTTCCCCGTGGCATGTCCAAACTGCCAGCATCACTACCCTGGGGCTTTGGGGTCATTTTTAGTAAAACTATGGTTGGTAAACACAAGCCCTGGGCCCTCAGTCTAACAACCTCAGTGACTGACAGGCCGGACAGGGATAACTCACAGCCCAGTGGCCAAAGCTGAGGTGAGCAATCTCATCAACACTGCTCAGATGGCACAAAATTCAAAAGTGATCAACTGTTTATTTCCGGAACTTTCCGTTTAATATTTTCACAGTGCAGCTTTCACTTTTCCTGAGACCTCGGATGAGGGGAGACTGTATACTTGTGCACATATTTGCACAAACAGAATCACACTACATGTGTCTCTGCAGTTGGCTGTCTGCCTGCAGACAGCAGCTTCTCAGCTGTTACTGAGGGTGAGCGCCCCGCTCAGGTAACTGTGGGTGTTCGCCGTCCTGCACCTACTGAAGCCCTCGCTCCAGAGCCAGTGCCCTGCAACAAGAGCAACCACCACAGTGAGAAGCCCGCACACCACAGCTGGCGAGGAGCCCCCACTCACTGCAACTGGAGAAAAGCCCGTGCAGCAACAACGACCAGGTCAGCCAAAAACAAACAAATAGTTACTTTTTAAAAAAATAGACAAGCCTTTGGAGTTTTTTTTAAAAGAAAAACCATGAACACAAAAAACAGAAGCAATTATTGAAGGGCACCACTTCACCTAATGTGTCTTAAGCATCACTCTCACCGGTTAACCGCATTGCTCAAGCTAAGAAGCCCTTCATTATTGGTGAGGAGCTGATCCCGCCTGCCGCTGTGGACATCTGTCCTGAACTTCTGGGAGATGCTGCAGCTCAGAAGGTGGCCAGCTCCGTAACTAGACGAGCTGATGAAACAACAGAGGGTGCTGGGGCAGGACTGCTAGGGGGGGTCAAGGAATCCCTGTGGGATGCAGTCCAGGCTGACGAGTCTGCTGACGTGGGCAACAGACAGCAGTGCTTGTTTCTGTGTGATATGCTCTCCAGGAGGATGTGCAAGCGGACATGTGACGTGTACTTTTGTTGCCAGCCACCACCACAGCCACGGAACTGTTAAGTCTTGGAATGACTATATCAGGAAACAGAATGGGTCACTGTGCGTCAGTATACACTGTATCAGCATATACATGGGTGGAGTGGCTGCCAAGAGTGGGCGGCTTTCTGGTTCACTACTCAGTCAAAGATTTTGCATCTGGATAAGTCTACCTCCTGTGTCATCCATAGAGAAACACTGGCTAGCCAAAAAACGTCACCCGAACATAACAGTGCTTTGCAGGATGCTCCTGTACACAGAAGTGAGATGGGTTTCTAAAGGCAGGTCCCTGGCCAGTTTCTGAGTTATGAGAGCCACTCCAGAGATTTCTTTTAGAAAAACTGTCACCACTGGCAGCACATACCTGTGACACAGGGTGGATCGAAAACCTTGTTCACTTGTGTGACATATTCAACCTGCTCAATGAACTCATTCTGTCACTTCAGCTGTGCTCAAGTTGGCTGACAAAGTAGCTGTGTTCAGAACAAATGGGAACTGTGAAGGTGACAAGTGAGTTTTGGGAGTTTGGACAATTCAAACATTAGCAGACATTTTGAAAGAGACTGAGCCACGGCCTTCTTTCTCCTAGCTGGAGCATGATCACCTACCTCAGCTTTTCAAAGGAGTTTGAGCATTACTTTCCAACCAAAAAAGACCCGCAAGCTGGGAAGAATGGACCCATGACCCATCTGTGAACGGGCCAGGTGAATCAACTTTGTCCATGCTACAAGAAGATCAACTACTTGAGACTGCAAATGATGGTGGCCTTAAGAGTATGTCTGATACAACTTCAAATCTCCATCCGCTCTAGATTAAAGTCAAGGTGGAATATCTTGAGGTTTCTACAAAGTACCAAAAAGCCTGCTTCCATTTCCAACATCCCATCTTTGTGAAGCAGGGTTTTCTGACGGCAACCAAAACAAGACAATGGGGTAGACTGGACAAGAGAACACACTCCGGGTGTCCCTGTCACTCCCACTGCCCCGAGATGGCTCCATCCGTTTGATTCTGCACTGTGGTGAGCTGTGTAATTATATCACTATCTATCACAATGTAGTACTAACAGAAATAAAGTGCACTATAAATGTAATGCACTTGAATCATCCCCAAACCAACCCCACCCCTGACCTTCGAAAAACTGTCTTCCACGATACAGGTCCCTGGTGCCAAAAACGTCGGGGACTGCTGCTCTAAGGGACTTGATCATCCACGGATTTGGGTACCACCATGAAATTGTTAACAGCAGCTCCTCACCACCCACACACTGTTGGGGGAGTCCATTTCCTTCTCCTTTCTCAGACTTGGCCCCCTGGCACCTTACTCTGTCTCTCTCTGCAGGGTCTGTTTTCTCCCTTGGATTATTTTCACAGCAGGGAAAGGAAGTCTTTCACATAGACTCTAGTAAGTCTGCTATGAAAACCAAGAAACAAACAGACTGCAAAAAGCATCTGACCCTGTGCTCCTGTCCAAATTCTGGCCCCAGCCCTGTAGTGTCTGGACAGAACCTCTGGGCGCCACCCAGGCATCCCCATGTTTCCGTCCGTGTCCAAGGACCTCGGTGCACTGGTTCTTCCAGGTGCCCACAGACCCTCCTGTTGAACTTGCCATCAGCACCCGTAGCTGTGTGTCCTCATCCTTCGCGAGAGACCTCCCGCAGTAGGGGCCCGAGTTGGCCGGCTCTCACTCCCTGCCTCCTCAAACACTGACCTGCTCCGCCCACCCCGGGCCCCTCCTTTGCTGGCACCTCCTTGCCCTGGCGCACCCAGGTGAGGGGTCATCCTCAGCTCAGACGTGGTCCGTCCAGTCCTGTGCCCTGGCCTACCATCTACCTCCTGAAGCTTCCAGGACACGTCCTCGGCCTGGGCCCTAACTATACCCACACGTACCCCTGCCCGCCTGCCCACTCAGCCATCTAGATGGCCATGCAGACACCGCACCCACTCCCCTCTGTGCCCAGCTCCCCATCCTCCATCTCACTGACAGGCCACATCATCCACACCAATGGAGAAGCCCAAACCCCTGGGTATGCTGGTTGCCGGGACCCCTCGGCCCGCGCCTACCCCACCATGTGGCTGTGGATCTGATCGCCTCTCCCTCTGTCTACACAGCGTGCTTCCCCAGTACCACCACCTTTCCGCGGGCCTGCTGCAGCACGTGTCTTACTGGGCTCCCAGTTACAAGCCAAACTTCAGTTTAAAAACAGAAATCAGGCACTCTGGCTTTTCACTGCAAACCTGCACAAGTGATAATTTTATGTAGAGTAACGGCCAGCTTGCCGACGGTGCCCACAAGGCCCCACATCCCGTGTGAGCTGGCCACCGCCCCGCTGCCCCCTCTGCTCCAGGACACACTTGCTGCTCCCACGGCCACCTCCCCCCAACGCCCCCATGTCTGGAGCACCTTCCCCTAGGCCTTTCCCACACTTCCTCTCAGAGCTGGGACTGAGGGCAGACGCCACCCCTCAGAAAGACCTCTGACTCCCCCCACCACCTCTGCTCTCTTCCAGCTTGCTGGGGGTGGGTCTTTCCCTCTGGGAGCATTCCTGAGCAAGGGCAGAGGCCTAGCCTGTCCAGCAAGGGTCCCCACCCAGCACCCAGGCCTCTGCCTGCCCTCCAGGGGCCTCTCGGGGAACACACGGCCACTGCCCCAAAGCTCAGTGATGTCCTGAGATGTTCCAGACGCACATCTCAGGCCCGCGCTGGATGGGGCGATGACCAAGTGGCCCTGAGATCCTGAGTTCACCTGTGTCTTCCTCCGTGGCTGCTAAGAAGGGCTCACACTGCCTGGGTCCAGTCCTTATGGCTCAGGTGAGCGCGTGTGTGTGTGAGAGTGTGTGTCTGTGAGAGACAGTGTGTGTATGTGTTTCTGTGTGTGCACGAGAGACAGAGTGTGTGTGAGGTCCGGAGCTCTACAAGTCTCCCTAAGCTGCAGCTTCCTCAGCCACAGAAGGGGGTGATTTTCCTAAGGACTAAATGGGATGATCCACGTAGAAATGAAGACCAGCGCCTGGTCCCTAGCTAACACAATGAGGAAAAGCTCATTACTGTTCTTAAGCTGAAATTTTCTTAGTACCATTCTAAAATTTGATGCACAAGACAGTGAAATTTAGAGAGCTTTCAACCAGTAGGCTGTTACACTTTTAGGGATGGTTTTGTTGAGATTTCTGAATCTATAAGAGATTTCCTAGCCTCTGGTAACCGGCCCCATGCTGTAGGCGGACAGCAACAGCAACAACGTTCAGGAAACAAGAGAGACGCCCCAAGTCTCACGGAGTAAGGAACGCAGAACCATCCTTTCCATTCAGTCATAAGAGGAGCCCAAGAGTTTGTGTGAAATTCTCTTCCATCTCACATAATTATTCTTAGAAGTAAAAATACACCAAAACCAGGCTTTAAAAAAGTTATCGCCCTGATTTCATGGGGGCAAGCAGCAGTTTCCTACAGTGCTTTCCAGGAGGCTCTTTAATCTGGTTCCGCCCAGACCACTCCTCCCAACAGCACTGGGATCTGAAGCCAGACCCGCGACCACATGTGGCTGGTGTAACTGTGAGTGTCTCCCCATGTTAAATAGCTCATGCAGGGACCACAAAGGCAGAACAGGACTGCAGTGTGGGGGGCTGCCCTGCTAAAGACCCCATTTAGTGAAATCAAGTTAGAGAACATGGCATCCAGGGTCAGACCCTGAAAGAGGTCTACAATTAATAAAAACAACAATAGTCAAAAATATTCAATCCTTTAACTTCCCCGTGAATGATATCCTAAGTCTTTAGAGCTGAACTTTAGTTGACAGACCTAGTACCTCAGTATGTTCCCGTTCTTTATCTACCAGAGAAACTAAAAATAAGTCAGATATTTAGTGTTATAAATTTAAGTTCACATAACTGAAATGTTTTAAATGAAAAGGAACAAATGCTGACATCAGACATCATTGATGTATGCCCAAGTGTCAGAACAATTTCATTTACCCATAAAGCTTCTGGGACAACTGAGGTTTGATTCACAAAGTGAGAAAGCCACGTTCATAAGAAGTGATGGGTCCCCTCCCACCCAGGCCCTGGGTACCTTCGATGAACACCTCAGCGGACGTGCTGTCGGAGCCGCTGGGGTTCGCGGCCAGGCAGGTGTAGCGCCCCGTGTCGTCCTCGAAAGCCTCGGCAATGATCAGGCTGTGCAGGTCGCCCCCGTCCCAGAGGATCTGGATGTCGGGACTGCTGTGCAGCTCACTCCCCTCACAGAACCATCTGCCGACCAACAGGAGTTGCAGGATGGGAGGGAGAGAAGGAAACAAGGTGTTTACAACAGTAAAGCACTAGCACGAGGTGAGAGGCTGTGTAATGAGATGCTTGTTTGATAAAAAGAGACCCGAGTTCCTGATATCACTGAATGCTATTGCATTTGAGGCCATGAAACACATGACTAGACTATACCCCTGGGTCTTCACCATAAAGCGTCCTGCACATTTCATCAACCTGGAACGAAGGAGCATCATCAAGCTGGGAAAGCCCAGGCCAGTCACAAACTGACAGGAGCACAAATTCCAAGGTCTTATAAATTTTTATCACTAATGCCTCGTGCATCTGTTACAATTTCATCTACTGTACTTCTCTAGAAAAAAATATGAACGTGACATGAACATGGTACTCAAAAGATGTGGTATGTCCAGGGAGACTGAGGGTCACGCTACGGCCCTGGGCAGCAACGTGCCTGCCGAGCTGCCAGCTGGGCAGATTAATACCATCCACACCGCTGCTGCTTGGAGGCCTTTCCAGTGGCACACCCAGCCCCACGGTGTGGGCAGGGGCCATGGCGGTCTGTGATTCATTCTTGCGGGTCTTACCCCTTTCCATCCCCTGGGTCTGCGACGTGGGAGGTGGCAAGAGGCTGGACCATTTTCATGAGGGTTCCTCCTCACACGCTGAGCACTTCAAACTCTCAACAGGATTTTTACCAAAAAGAAAATAATGAAGCTTCCCTAACCCCCTCCCCTCAAAATGAGGTTTAAAGAAATATGAAGGAACGTCCACCAATGACTAAAAGGATTGACAACTGTCCAGTTACCTTCTAATCAGCATCAGAGATTTTCTGAGTCTGAAACTCCAGAAAATTCTCTGGATTCGGCCTCCTTTTCATGTCACTGAAGACTAGTCTTTTCTGCACTTAGACAGCAGACTACAGGTATCTGTCTCTATTAAGTCTGAAAGCAAGGGTAATAAACTGATGAAAGTAGGGAAAACCACTAGACCATTCAGGTATGAGCTAAATAAAATTCCTTACGACTATACAGTGGAAGTGAGAAATAGATTCCAGGAATTAGATCTGATAGACACAGGGCCCGATGCACTATGGACAGAGGTTCATGACATTGTACAGGAGGCAGTGATCAAGAACATCCTCAAGAAAAAGAAATGCAAAAAGGCAAAATGGCTGTCTGAGGAGGCCTTACAAATAGTCAAAAGGAGAGAAGCAAAAAGCAAAGGAGAAAAGGAAAGATACACCCATTTGAATGCAGAGTTCCAAAGAATAGCAAGGAGAGATGAGAAAGCCTTCCTCAGTGATCAATGCAAAGAAACAAAGGAAAACAATAAAACGGGAAAGACTAGAGATCTCTTCAAGAAAATTGGAAATACCAAGGGAACATTTCATGCAAAGATAGGCACAATAAAGGACAGAAATAGTATGGACCTAACAGAAGCAGAAGATATTAAGAAGAGGTGGCAAGAATACACAGAAGAACTATACCAAAAAAAATCTTCATGACCCAGATAAACACAATGGTGTGATCACTCACCTAGAACCAGACATTCTGGAATGCAAAGTCAAATGGGCCTTAGGAAGCATCACTATGACCAAAGCTAGTAGAGGTGATAGAATTCCAGTTGAGCTATTTCAAATCCTGAAAGATGATGCTGTGAAAGTGCTGCACTCAATATGCCAGCAAATTTGGAAAACTCAACAGTGGCCACAGGACTGGAAAATGTCAGTTTTCATTCCAATCTCAAAGAAAGGCAATACCAAAGAATGCTCAAACTACCACATAATTGCACTCATCACATGTTAGTAAAGTAATGCTCAAAATTCTCCAAGCTGGGCTTCAACAGTACGTGAACCATGAACTTCCAGATGCTCAAGCTGGATTTAGAAAAGACAGAGGAACCAGAGATCAAATTGCCAACATCCACTGGATCATTAAAAGAGCAAGGGAGTTTCAGAAAAACATCTACTTCTGGTTTATTGACTATGCCAAAGCCTTTGACTATGTGGATGACAACAAACTGGAAAATTCTTCAAGAGATGGGAATATCAGACCACCTGACCTGCCTCCTGAGAAATCTGTATGCAGGTCAGGAAGCAACAGTTAGAACTGGACATGAAACAACAGACTGGTTCCAAATCGGGAAAGGAATACATGAAAGCTGTATATTGTCACCCTGCTTATTTAACTTATATGCAGAGTACACCATGAGAAACGCTGGACTGGATGAAGCACAAGCTGGAATCAAGATTGCTGGGAGAAATATCAATAATTTCAGATATGCAGATGACACCACCCTTATGGCAGAAAGTGAAGAAGAACTAAAGAGCCTCTTGATGAAAGTGAAAGAGGAGAGTGAAAAAGTTGGCTTAAAACTCAACATTCACAAAACTAAGATAGTGACATCTGGTCCCATCGCTTCATGGCAAATAGATGGGGAAACAATGGAAACAGTGACAGACTTTATTTTGGGGGGCTCCAAAATCACTGCAGATGGTGACTGCAGCCATGAAATTAAGACACTTGTTCCTTGGAAGAAAAGTTAGGGCCAACTTGGACAGCTTATTAAAAAACAGAGACATTACTTTGTCAACAAAGGTTCATCTAGTCAAAACTATGGTTTTTCCAGTAGTCATGTATGGATGCGAGAGTTGGATGATAAAGAAAGCTGAGTGTAGAAGAACTGATGCTTGTGAACTGTGGTGTTGGAGAAGACTCTCGAGAGTCCCTTGGACTGCAAGGAGATTGAACGAGTCAATCCTAAAGGAAATCAGTCCTGAATATTCATTGGAAGGACTGATGCTGAAGCTGAAGCTCCAATACTTTGTCCACCTGATGTGAAGAGCTGACTCATTAGAAAAGACCCTGATGCTGGGAAAGATTGAAGGTGAGAGGAGAAGGGGACGACAGAGAATGAGATGGTTGGATGGTATTATGGACTCAGTGGACAGGAGTTTGAGTAAATTCCGGGAGTTGGTGATGGACAGCGAGGCCTGGTGTGCTGCAGTTCATGGGGTTGCAAAGAGTCGGACATGACTGAGCAAGTGAACTAACTGAACTGAAAGGTAATAAAACAAACCGGTTTGCTAGTACTCAGTGTATTAACCACAGAAACTATACTAAAAAAAAACAAAAAACAAGCTCAGGATACTTAGAAAAGAACAGCCATGACTTTGGGAATTAAAAACCATCTGAAAAACTAGCCAATTGAGCAATCATGTAATGCAAGGCATATTGCTTTTGAGGCAATTGAGAAGGGCAGTATTCCTTGATTCTTGGCAGTTGGTGGTTTCCTGTTTCCAGAAAGTCCTGGAGAACATTCCGGCCTAGAACCATCTTCTAGTTGCTTCCTCTCTGCTCTCTCCACAACCACAATCCAGGTCCTCACTCTCGAGGACTGACTATGGCTTAAATATTACTTGATCTGAAGTCTTCTAGTTGACCTTGTCATCGCTGACATGCTGAGGACTCCTTCTCTAGCCCACGTCAGGTGAGTGCACTTGACACTGCCCTCCATGAACTGTACCCTCAACTTCAGTCTCTATGGTCTGCTCTCCTGTAACTTGGGCCCAGCTTCTTCCATCACACTCCTATAGAATCCTGCATGGGGATCCTCTATGACCCACATCCCAGAATTTTAGAAACAAAAGCAAAAATAAACAAATGGGACCTAATGAAACTTAAAAGCTTTTGCACAACAAAGGAAACTATAAGCAAGGTGAAAAGACAGCCCTCAGATTGGGAGAAAATAATAGCAAACAAAGCAACAGACAAAGGATTAATCTCAAAAATATACAAGCAACTCCTCCAGCTCAACTCCAGAAAAATAAATGACCCAATCAAAAAATGGGCCAAAGAACTAAACAGACATTTCTCCAAAGAAGACATACAGATGGCAAAAAAACACATGAAAAGATGCTCAACATCACTCATTATCACAGAAATGCAAATCAAAACCACAATGAGGTACCATTACACACCAGTCAGGATGGCTGCTATCCAAAAGTCTACAAGCAATAAATGCTGGAGAGGGTGTGGAGAAAAGGGAACCCTCTTACACTGTTGGTGGGAATGCAAATTAGTACAGCCACTATGGAGAACAGTGTGGAGATTTCTTAAAAAGCTGGAAACAGAACTGCCATATGACCCAGCAATCCCACTTCTGGGCACACACACCGAGGAAACCAGATCTGAAAGAGACACGTGCACCCCAATGTTCACCGCAGCACTGTTTATAATAGCCAGGACATGGAAGCAACCTAGATGCCCATCAGCAGACGAATGGATGAGGAAGCTGTGGTACATATACACCATGGACTATTACTCAGCCATTAAAAAGAATTCATTTGAATCAGTTCTAATGAGATGGATGAAACTGGAGCCCAATATAGAGCAAAGTAAGCCAGAAAGATAAAGACCATTACAGTATACTAACACATATATATGGAATTTAGAAAGATGGTAATGATAACCCTATATGCAAAACAGAAAAAGAGACACAGATGTATAGAACAGACTTGTGGACTCTGTGGGAGAAGGCGAGGGTGGGATGTTTCAAGAGAACAGCATCGAAACATGTATATTATCTAGGGTGAAACAGATCACCAGCCCAGGTTGGATGCATGAGACAAGTGCTCGGGCCTGGTGCACTGGGAAGACCCAGAGGGATCGGGTGGAGAGGGAGGTGGGAGGGGGGACCGGGATGGGGAATACATGTAAATTCATGGCTAATTCATTTCAATGTATGACAAAAACCACTGCAATGTTGTAATTAGCCTCCAACTAATAAAAATAAATGGAAAAAAATATAAAACTAAAAAAAAAAAAAAGAATCCTGCATGGATTGCTTGTTCCCTACGCAGCCCTCAAGTACTTCCTGCTTCCCCTCCCCTCTCAGGAACTCTCTCCCCACCCTCTATGATCATCCCACCCTGGGGCTACTCTCCTCGCAGCCAAGTGAAGGGTGCCTTCAGCAGATTCAGGTCCCCG